AGCTTTTTTAGTTAAGAAACACACTTAACAACCCCGAGGTGCTCTTAGTTTGACAAAGTTTGTGTTTTCGTTTCTCTAACTCCTAATATAGATTTTTTCCCATTACTAGTCACTTTCAGTTTGATTGGTAATATCGACTCGGAGATGGTGCATCGAGGCTTTATGTTTTCTCTTGGTTGTTATTTTAAGAGAACAAAATAAGAGGAAATGTGTGTTACCATTTACATTTTACGTCATATTTTATTTTTAAAAAGTTTCACTCAAACTAACGTAACAAAAAAAACAGAACTCCCTTTAAAAAAATTCTTCCACTAAATAATAGAAGAAACCAGTGGAACAACTTTTTTTCTCATTTGTTTTCCACTCATTTCTATTCAACTCACCATTTTCAATTGCTTTTGTATTTCAAGTTGTATTTCATGCATTCTACCTTGTATTCCACCTCGATATTTTAGTGCAATGTAGACGGAAAAAAAAATATCCAGTTCAAATTAATTGACTTACGCTATTCTGAAAATTACGCACTACTAGCAGAGCCGAATTTCAGGGGAGTTTCATGAAACATTTGAATGGTCCCATAGCCCCACTTATTAAAAAACATTAAATACATGTATTAGTTTGTATAAAATATGTTATTTAATTGAAAAAATGAAGATTTGGTGAAAAAAAAACTATTTTTTTATGGAATCTAATATTTTATGAGATAATATGATTAAAAAGTAAAAATTTTAATTAAATTTTGTTCATAATTTTGTTTCACATAAGAAAAATGAGTGTATTGTTATTAAAAAATCAGATTTTGTAAAAATTATCTATACTAAGTGTTAGTAATTTTTTTTGTATTGACCCCCGAGAATCTCAGATCCGGCTATGACGGCTAGTAGACTAAAACAAAGTTACACAGTAGTCAGAAAATATGACGTGAGAATCCATATCAAACAATTTACAAACACGAATTATAGAACTCAACAACCCTGGGAAAACTTCTTTCTTACCCCAAACTTTTGAGGTGATCGGAACATAACCCTATACAACGAAAAAAAAAGGCAAAAGATAAATGGATTTGGATTTAGACGTGTTATGTCAATCATCTTGTTAACCGGAGAGTCCCACCTAGCTCTACCGGAACCAATGGAACAAGTGAGTGAAGAACATCGGTTATCAGCGGCCGGTAACTCGGTTCTGGCTGCACGCACAGCACAGCCATGGCTGCTACCTGCGAATATAAAAAAAAAAGTCTCAATTCAAGAATCCACAATCTCACTGGTTTACATCGGTTTGTTCTAAACTCAACAAGCCTAATAAATTGTCATTTGCAACTTTTGAGTATAGTCAGAAACAAGATGGATACTATCTTGAAACCAAACCTGGTATAAGTGCTTAAGGTCCATTGTATCTTTTATAACCGGATCCACGATGTTTGGAAGCTTCGATCTATCGGTAAGTTGTGGCATTGCCTGCAAAACACCACATTTATAAATCGTTAACCGATTCAAAATTAACCAACACATTTTTGTAGACCTTCTTAACCAGATAAATGCATACCCAAGTCACAAGAGACCGGCACTGAGCTGGGGTTAATTTCTCAACCGGCCGCCTACCCAACAAGAGTTCAAGAAGAACCACCCCAAATGCATAGACATCACTCTTATCCGTCAATTTTCCTGTAAAACATTCGCAAAAGGAAATTGTTGTTTCATCGCTGAAATGTAGTAAAACAATTGCTTCCGGTCTAGAAACCATTCCTTCAACAATATTGCAGGATATAAAGATTATTTAACACAATGATTGGATTATTAATAACAATCTCACATGTAATTCCATGAAACACACATGATGACTATTACGTGCTATGCTACACATTCTTACATATGAGACGAGTCAGAGCTAAAAAGAGAAAGAACCCAAGTGAGCACATTTACCATCCAGGAGATATTCCGGGGCAACATAACCAAGTGTCCCTGAAAGTTTAATGTTGTTCTTCCCATGCACCCCAACCGATACTGCAAGACCGAAATCCGAAATCTGCATTGTTGCAAACAAAACAAATGTAAACAAGAAGCAAGATCAATACCAAAACCAAATAAGGATGCGATTATTTGACATTCAAGAACAAATATATTTGTCAATTTAAAAGGCTGTGACAATTATTCTGCTTTCTTATTCCCTACACATTTTACATTGAAACAAGAACCAAGATTTAGGACTAAGATTCGGGGTTCAGAACCGGTTATAAGTAGCAACATTTATAAAGCCATCTTTACCTTGGCATTGAAGGAAGAATCAAGAAGAATATTCGACGATTTCAAATCTCTGTGGATAACTGGTGGACGACAATGCTCATGGAGATACTCTAGTCCTCTGCGGTCAAACAGAGCAAAAATCGGTTTACAGGATTAACCGAGATTAACCAATGAGAAAACCGGTCTAGGAGGTTGAAAGTGTCGGTAGGTTATTTATTTATATACCTAGCTGTATCTAGAGCAATCTTCATACGCATATGCCATGTTAGAGCTGATCCACGAGAAGTTCCTAAAACATTGATTACAAAGATGAAAACAATGAATTATAATTATTTTAATTCATGTGACCACATGATCAATTTCATTCATATACTTTGTAGCATCATTTCTATATATATAGAGAATATAATAACTCTTTGGGTTTAAACAAGATCATAAATAAAGGTCTCAAAACATGATTTTTACCATGTAACTGTTCCTCTAATGATCCTTTCTCCATCAGCTCGTAAATTATGTAACTTGAGTTGATTTCACTTCCAGATCCCAACAATGAGATAATGTTCGAGTGCTGGATCCTACTCAGCAACTCAACCTCATTCTAAAATCTCCCAAGAATCAGAGAGTGAATATAGAGAATCCAAGAATTAGAATTGGGACTTGTTTATGTTTTTACCTGAAACTCTCGTTTCGCTTCTTGGCTAACGTTTTCGATCTTTTTAACCGCGGCTTTCGCGTTGCTGTCTAAACAAGCCTTGTAAACACATCCGAAACCGCCTTCTCCGATAACATTACTGTCTTTGAAACCACCTGTTGCTTTCTCCAGCGTCTTGAAATCGAAAGACTGAACATAATAATCCTTGTTGATAGATGTTTTCCTCTGAGTTTTAATCGAGCTTAATCGCCTCATAAACAAGGAAAATGAATTCCCATTCTCAGCATCTTCATTTAAAAACATTGACAGAGATCAACAAATGAAATATGTTGGAGAGTTTCTCAATACTACTGATTCAGGATGATGGAATTTACCTGAATTCTTGATAGAAGAATTGGGAGATTTCTTCCGACGATAAACCCAGAAGGCTAAACAAAAGAGGAGAATGAGTCCGAGAGAAGAAGAGCTGATTACGAGACAAATCAGAAGTTTCTTATGCGCTTCTAATTTGTGTTCTTCTCCATTTCCCATTTGAGTTCCTG